GAGGGCAGGGTGTTTTTGCTCATAGGGAAGCATGGACGTAATTAGCCTTCCGCCTACCCTGAGAATACCCTGAGTATCAATTACAAGACACAACTTGCGCATAAGTTTGGAGCAAGGTAGACCTTTGGAAACAAGATCAAATTCCTGTCGAAAACATTGCTGTTGAACGATTCGAACAAAGACGAGTAATGAGTTATGTAATTCAGTTTCATTCATCACTGATGTATCAACAGACTGACGTTTTATTTTCAGATCTATGAAACGCAAAACATAAGTGATAGTACGAAGAATTTTCGGAAGAGAAGAAAATCTGTCCAATAAATCCGAGAAAGGAAAGAATTTTTGTGGAAAAGTCGAATAAACATACCTTTTAGATTCCTCTTTACGAATATCTGGAGAGTCGAGAGTCGGAGTTGGATTGTTCGGCCATTGGTCAGACGAACGACGTAGCCACTCTGGGCCGTTCCACCACATAGAGTTGTTCAATAGCTCTTCCGGCAACATACCACGTGATGCAATATCACCTGGGTTGAGTTGTGTTGGGACAAATCTCCAAGAAGATGGAGGAAGAATATTTTGAATGTGAGATACGCGATTTGCGATATAGGTTTTCCATTTATATGGAGGCGCTCTTATCCAACCGAGAGCTACCATGGAGTCAGACCATGCGAAAATGGATTCAAAACCAACATCAGAATAACTGATTTTGATGAAAGAAATTAAATCAGCGACCAAAACTGAAGCTGATAGCTCGAGGCGAGGAAGGGAGATCCTTTTTAGTGGCGCAACTTTGGTCTTGGCTGTCACTAGCGTGGAAAATACACTGCCAGTTGAATCGGCGACTCTAAAATACGCGCATGCGCCGAAACCAATTTCCGAAGCATCGCCGAAAACATGGAGTTGTAGAGACTGAAGATTTGGTGTCAAGATGTACCTAGGAATTTTTATCTGGGAAATCAAGGGTGACTGACTTTTGTATGTCAGCCATCGATCGACAAGACCTTGGGTTGGAGTATCATCCCAATCTACACCCTCTGCCCACATCAATTGCATTAGATGCTTTGCAAGAAATATGCAAGGTGATATCAAGCCGATTGGGTCAAACGTACGAGCAATGGTAGAGAGAATTGATCTTTTCGTACAAGAATCGTCGGTTTGATTGACCTGATATGAAAAGACATCGTTCACTGGGTCCCATTGGAGACCAAGGACTTTGTGAAAACAGTCAGTGTCAGTGTCTAGTGAAACAGAAATTTGTCGAATATTTGACGGAATTGTGTTAAGAAAGTTGAGATCATAACTTGAGCACTTCCGCAGCTCAAAACCTGCGGAATTTAATAACTCAACAAGCTCTGCTTTAAGAGTCAATGCTTCCTCCAAGGTGTAAGCTCCTGTGCAGATGTCGTCGACAAATATGTCGGACTGCAGAACTCTTGAAGCGTTCGGATATGCTTCTGAGCCTTCTCGTGCCAGTTGCAAAATGACTCGAAGTGCCAAATAAGGAGATGATGCGATTTCAAATGTAATGCGGGTAAGACGATAATTTTGGATAGGCTGCTCGGGAGAAAATCTCCATACTAGCCTCTGATAATCCCTATGCTTGGCGTCTAGTACAATCATACGATACATGGCTTTGATGTCACAAGAAAATGCTAATGGAAATTTTCTGAAGTTAAGGCAAATTGCGGTGATGTCTTTTTGGAGTTTAGGACCTGACAGAAGAAATTGATTGAGTGATCCTTGTGGAGTAGGACAAGACGCATTGAATACTACGCGCACGCTTTGGTCACTAGCTTTCGTAACCGAATGGTGGGGTAGATAATACATTTTTTGAGTATCACTCGAAATTTCAGGAGGAGCAACAACTTCCATATGTTTGGAGTCTAGATACTCACGAATGACAGCAGAGTATTTTTCATAGAGATCAACATCTTTTAAGAGCCGTCGCTCTAGAGAATAGAACTATTTCAGAGCAATATCCCTAGAACTCGAAAAAACAGGCTCGTCTGCTTTGAAGGGAAGAGATACTATAAATCTCCCAGACAATTCCCGATAGTGAGTAGTGTTAAAAAATCGCTCACATAACTTGTCAGACTCAGACATAGGTTCAGTATGAGGAACCTCTTCAAGTTGCCAGAATTTGGACAAGGCTCTCTCAAGAGAATCTGATAAAGTAAAGAAGCTATGGCGTGGATGTAAACGAGAGTTGCCAGATGATTTGACATTTCCCATGATAATCCAGCCGTAAATGGTGTTTAAGGCAATGGGATCATGTGAAGATTGCATAATCTTGCCATCCAACATGAGTAACGGAAATATGAAGGCACCTAGTAAAATGTCGATTCCACTAGGAGTCTTGAAACTTGGATCGGCTAACTTAATATGAGACAAATGATCCCAGCTATTGTGTTCTACTGAAACAATAGGCATGTTAACGCAAATGGACGGTAATATGACTGAATAGACTGCCACGAAAGGTTGATTCAAACCAGGCACGCTTAGTTCGAAAGTAGTGTAGCCTCTCGATGTAGCAACTGATGTATCACCGATCCCTTGAATTTCAACACTTCCACCGTAGCTTTTCAAACCCAATCTTCGAAAACACTTCTCAGTGATGCAGTTTAACCTGACTCGTGCTATCCAGCAGCGCTCGGCAAGTGTGTAGGTTGCCATGTCTGTCAGCCACTTGTACGAGGGCGGTAGCGAGTAAGGTTGAGTCGGTTATATTCGCCGAAGAAGAGGCATATGATTTAGGTGAGTTTAGCTCTACCGATGCAGAAGATGCAACGGAGTGAGGAAGTTCGCATGATGAGTCATGTGGTGTCTGTGGCGAATTGCCTTTGGAAGGAGAATCGGCTCACCAGTGGAGCAAAGTATGGTGTGTCCGACTTTGACAAAATTGGCAAGCTGTATTGCTCGAACATTTTTTAGCGCTGCACCGCAAATTGAGGCATAATGTGCACAAGCGATGTTGCTTGACGATGGTGTAACGATAACGAGGCGTTTTCGATTTGAAAACTGAACATTTAATCAACGAGCGTCTACTCTGACATCCTAATGTACATTTTGGACTATCCTGCGTTAAGAAACCTTTAGGATTTAATTTAGATTTAAAACTGCGTTCGCTTTTGTTTCTGACTGATTTTGTTCGAATGGTGTCTTCTGGACTTGAAAGTGCAAAGGACGATAATGCCTTGCAATTTTTATCTAAAAATTTGATTAAATCGTCGTATGAAGGAAGCTCTACACTGCTGTGCGCAAGCTCAAATGACTTAGCTGAATGCACATCAATTTTTGATAAAAGCAAATTGAGAAGAATAAAATTCCACTCGACAGTGGGAAACCCCAAAATTTTCAATGCCGCCAAGTTTTCTTGAAATGTGTCAATTAAACGTCGCAAAACTAAATGATCGTCTGATGACATTTTAGGAGCGTTGTGTATGTTGTTCCAAAATTCAGTGGCCATTAACCTTTTGTCCTGGTATCTATCACGCAATGCCTGATAAGCAACGGGGTAGTTGCTCTCAGTCATGCGCAACGTTTTTAATAAGTTGAGGGGTTCACCCTCGCAATGTTTTACCAAAAAACCGAATTTTTGAATCGCCGGCATGCTCGCGTCATTATGAATTAAACTATCATATAAGTCAATGAATGTCGGCCAATCTCGGTAATCGCCCCTGAAAATTGGTACATCAACCTCATATACTTTTTGGTTAGTGGTAGCATTAAAAATTGTTTGGTTTGATGGGACAACAGGACTTTGAGCCGCTGTAGGAAACAAATCCATATATATAGATTTTATCACGAAATATTTGTCGTCAAATTCTCGACGAATTTCGTCTTCATCCTCCAGAGACTTGTCAGTCATCTGTTGTGACTCAATGATTGCATGATGATGAGCTTCAAAATTATTTCTAATGTCTTCAATTCCTTCGTAACGAGCTTTAAATTGATTTAACTTAGTTGAATCAGTGAGACAGGTCTGAGAACAATTATAAATTTCAGTCAAACGACTTATAAAAAAACCTCGAGTGGCTTTATTCTGACCTAAAGATTTTGCCATTATAAAAACCTATCGAACACTACGCAGATTCAGAGAGAAAAGCGATATTACTCAAATAATAATAATGATAATAAAAAAATGAAAACCAAACTGTTCCGAGTTTCAACTAGACCGAAAGAAATTCGACAAAAAAGTAAATAAATACGCCTGAAACTCTGGCCGTTCCGATATTGAACGTTAAAACGAAACAATGTTTGAAACCGAGATCCAGTCGATTGAAATCAAATGCGAATCTGTATATATAAAAAAAAACGTACTGATCTTTTTGTGTCGATGCTAATGGCCTTCATACACAAAAAAGTAAAGGAATAAACAGATTTTTCGCAAAGCATAGCACGTAATCGTGAATTTCAAATTGAGAATATTGATTGCACAATAATAAGATAAAAGTTAGTTCTTTTTAATTGGGCTCGTAAGGACCAAAAATGTTTTGTCCGCGCGGAAACGGACTTTGGCCGCAGCTGGCACAGCAAGAAGTCGCAAAAATTACTCGAGACAGGATCAAAAGATTTTTGATTACTTAACTGACCCTACCTCGCTTTTGGTCTTCCTTCCGGAGGGGCCGGCCCGTGCTGCGTCCTCTGTGCCTCGAGTGGTGAGGAAATTTGTTTATCACCACGCGTATGACCTGATGCGTTCAACGGCACTTTTTGAACCACACGATGAGAGCGACCGATTTAGCGCTTCACCGTGATTTTTAGTGGAGCATGCGCCTAAGGGCGCTGGCAGGTATAGATGGCCAGTTAAGTTCAAGAATTTAATACCGCGAGGAAAGGAAGAAGAATAACTTCTTGGTGCTGTACTCGCGGCCAATCGATAAGCTATAGGTTTATATATATAAATTCATAAGAAGTCGAAAAATAATAAAACGAAAACTGAACAGATGGCAATAAAAAAAATCAATATAAAAGGAATAGTATATTTATTGAACGATACACTGAACAGCTACTCCACCTTCTTTTTGACCAGCCACGACGTTAATAGTCGCACGACGCGTAGAAACGTGAAAATCATCCAACGAGTAAGGATTATCAACCCCATCAAGATGCAAACCAAAACCGCCAGAACATCCAAGAAGAAGTACTGGTAGAGCGGCACATCCAGGTTTCCATTCTGCAAAATGCTTCCCACTTGGGGGTTCCTCAGCACGAATTCCGTCCACCATACCACCTTCTCGAGCACGTCCATTGGAGCATCCCGTATTAGCCTCGATATAGCGTCGATCCTTTCCCTATATCTAGAAAACGTATTAGCAATAATTTCAGATTGTCCAAGTTTATCTTCACCCATTACTGTTTATTTCCGACCACTTCCATTATGGCTCGTGTGAGTGTACGCTTGGTGATCGTGTTCTTATCGAGACACAACGCGATACCTTTGGAGACGGCGTTGTCTACGTTCCGCGCTTGATCGCTGACGAAAGGTATTCCGACCATAGGCACCCCAGCGTGGATAGCTTCTTCGATAGAGTGTACACCGCCTTGAGTCAGAAATACTTTCACGTTTCTGTGAGCTGGAAAGAGACGTTTTCTTAGTACGGCGGCCAAGACGACGTCCAGACTTACCCAGCAGATCGCGTTGCGGCACCCATTGAAAAATTCTTACGTTTTTTGGTAGCCCGGGAATGTGGTGGTCGAACTTCCACAAGACGGCGTAAGGGAGGTCTTTAAAAGTTTCCAGTGTAACGTTCAAAAAGTGTTCGGGGTACTGTTCTATCATTATGGTGGTACCCAGGCTGAAGTATATAACTCCCTGCGGATTGTCGTCTAAGAAAGTCGACATTTCCTGGAAAGTGGACGTTAGTGGGCGAGCGGTTCGACGTGAAGTCTCCGACGTACGTAAGGCAGGGGTTTCGGGTACCTTGTTGGTATACCACCCCCTATCCTGACGAATTTCGGACTAAGCGGTCTGGAGTCGAATAATGGGTGGGTGTTAAGGAACACGAGGCTGATGTTTCTGAGCAACGTAAGTGGAGGTGGGACGTCGCTTCCGAAGTACTGCTGCATTTTCTCTCTCTCCACCAGGTTACCCAGCAGGAAATAGTCCTCCTTACAACTCCTGAAATATTAGCGATAGCGACTTGGAGATTTACGATACTGTTAACTCCGGAACTTTATTTTGATTTTGCCGCCGCAGGGTGAGGATAAAGACGCATGCAACGTTAAAAATATTACCTAATATAGTTGTAGACCATCCAGAACGCGGCATCTGTGCGACTGGGAAATGTCAAGTCTCTGATTGGCATAAATGCGTCCGTAAAGGTCAGCGGGTGTGTGGGGTTGCCTAAAAATGTACTCGGAACAAGTTAGGTTATTACTGCACACAAGACGCACTGGTGTGCTTGGATGTTTTAAGTATTTTACAGTACCTGTACAGTACCCTCGCAGGACCATGGTAAAACCCATCCCCACAGATACGTTCGTATATATTACGTATTATATATTTGATTGTGATCCTTCCACTAAGTGCGTATTTATGAACCTGATTCTCGGGCTTTGACCCTGCGAGGCTGTTTTCACTGGATAGTTCAAGGGGTAAGGGTAAGTACCTGTACTCTATTTATCTAACAGCTAAGTTTGAAAATAATCATTATGTGCTTGTCGATTAACAACATTCTTCTTCTTGTATTTTTGTGTCTTCCACATTGTTCTTCGATTTGTAAACAACAGTCTTTTTTTAAAACTGTAGCTTATATTGGCGGTAGATAAAGGTACGTCATAAGAATACAGATAATTATTTATGCGAATCTTACAATTAAAGATTTTTTTGAAGGTTTCTGTTTTTAACACTTTAAAATGTGGAGACCGTGGAATGAAGCAGATGTTCTCCTGTTATCCATTTGTGTTAGGATGCTAAACAAATTATTTGGAATGTTTACAATTTTATAAGAAATTCAGAAGGGAAAGTAGGAGCAGTAATAAAAACAAGTGACATAGAACATAATAAATTGTTACTTTGTACTATGTTTTTTTAAATACACGTTTCAAGAATTGCTCGGCGAAAAAGATTGAAAACATGCTTATATCCCGCTTGTTAGTGTAGGTGGATAAATTCCTAGGGCCGTACTGGAATGGTTACGGGTAAGGGTCTGCTCGGTAGGGTGTTCTATAAGTGACTGCGATTTGGGAGTAATAAATAGTAGGCAAAGTTATCACGAGGTCGGTTCTAAAAGCGCTATATTTTTGGTTGAAGTTTAATCATAAATAATTAAAAATAATGGGGGCAATTCTTAGTAGTCAAAACGACTATATAAATTACGATAATTTTGAAACGACGGAAAAAATTAAATTCTAAATTTTTGAACTAAAGAAGTGTCGCTTCGGTATTAGTTCGAACCTTGAATGAATCTAGAAGGGGCTTTCAATACATCATGACGAGTTATTCTTTCAAATTAACTTCGATCTATCAAAGACAAAATTGCATTTGAGATGCCAGGAGTTTACAGCATTCCATGCATATGCGGCAAAGAATACATTGGAGAGACCGGACGAAAAATATCAACTAGGCTCAAAGAACACGAAAGAGCCTTACGACTAAGATAAATAAACTCATCAGCTGTTGTCTAACACACTCATGAAACCCGACATAAAATTTTATTCAATAAAACTAAAATTCTTGCATGTAATCAGCTCTTCTACCAACGAAAAATCCGAGAGTCTATAGAAATCTATAAACAACCTAACAATCTTAACCGCGACTCAGGTCTCTATCTGTCACCAATATGGGAATCAGTCATCCGAGACTGTGTTTATACGCCTCATTAGGGCCCCCCTCAAACTATACATAAACTGGTACAGAGTAAAATGCGAGCCAGTTTCAGTCAAGCTCTGAAGAAGCCAACAGCGAAACGTCAGCAATTTCGACTCCGGAAAAACCGACGCAGGAGGAATCCAGAAGTTTTGTAAAAAAAAGAGTTATTCTGTTTATATATTTTCATCCTGTATAAGAGATTAGCCTTCTTTGACTCCATATCAGAAAATAGGAATCCTTTTTAAGTAAAAAATATTCTTGGTTTGATTATTCTATTGCATCGAAAACGAATGCGAAGGCGAATAATATTATTATTGTTACTTAATGTTACTTATTGTTAATGCTTTGGGTATTTAATGTCAACCTTTTAACAATGAAATTTTAAAAAAATTGCAAAATTCTATGACATTTTTTTGTTAAAAAGTTATTGTAATGTTGAAGCCTAATTAATAGATATTGATTTTAAACTCAGAATTTTATCAACGCTTTTTGGATATCAGTCTACTTTATCGGCATTTTAATTTAAAGAAAAGTACGCCGAATATTTAAAAGATACTATTAGGCAATTATTTGCAACTTCGTCGATGTGTTATGCTAAAAATAAAATTATTAAAAATTCCGCTTATATCGGAAATGGGTTTTGTCTTGCTTTTGATTCCAGATCTCCTACACAGAGGACAGGCTTCGAGTTTTGAAAAAAATCTTTTTGACGGGGTGAATGAAGGCAAAGGCAGAAATATCACGTCGTACGAATAAACGTCAAAAAATAAGGCACAGAAATTTACCTAATGCGTACGCAAAGTACATTTTTTTAACGATCCAAAACTAACTAAAATTGAAGTATTATATGAGTAAATTTCTAGAGATGTTGTTAATCCTTTTGATATTTGTTATATTTAATCTCCAAAAACAATAGATTAATTTTAATAATAAGGATCAGGATAAATGGTTGTTTATTGCAACGGAAATTAACAAACCTTGATTTTAATGTTTAAAAATTTCTAATATTCACTATAACTATTTGAAAACAGAGATAAATTGAAATCTGTTTTGTTTAATGTTGTTTGCTTTATCTCTTCAAGAAAAGTGGTAATAGGTGTTCTTACTGAGAGGACCCGGGACTATCTCATTTTTCAAATCCTCTCAAATTTCTAGACATATTTTATGTAGAATGTCTCATAACAATACTTTTTGGAATGATTAATATTTTCTGTAGTTGAGTTTCTCTTTCACAGATCCAGATTGTTGTGAAAGTTTCTATGATTTTCTAAACTATGCATGGGAGAAAGTTTAGTTTTTTTGGGCATACCGATTTTAGCATTATTTCAAGTTTTCAAATCTTTGGTAGTTACATAGGAGATCAAGTTCCCACTGGGACAATCTGTATACATTGCTGTATACACCCTTCGATATTGCATTATTATAAAGAGTGTTATTTGAATCCAATTTTTTCAATGAAACTGTTATTTCATTTTTAAATTTAAATAGTTTGGCTGTGCAAGCGGTTTCGGTACTTTTTTCACGGAGGCTTAGTGGTGGTTATTAACGAGTGCGTAAAAACCCAGATATTAAATTCCCAATATTTGTTCGTCATGTTGTTTTCATGTTTTCAGATTTTAATCCCGTTTTCATGCAAAAGCGCTTTTCGAAAACTAATCAAAAATGCCCTTTATTCCGCAAATTCCGCTTTGACAAAAGTTTAATTACAAACGAAAAAATCATATTTTTGCATTTCGCGTTAGTTTAAAAAAATGTTTGTATAGCCGATGCAAACGGCAAACCCAACTATCAACGGCGCGCGAATAATTCTGGCAATGTTTGCGTCGTTTAAATAGAAAAACGGTAAGCAAGCTTACCGAGGGCGGAGTGTTGATCGGTAAGCACGTCGGTCGACGAAATCCCAATCAGCGGGCAGCCGAATCGGTGAGCGAAACCGAACATGACGGGCATGTGTAACTCGCATATAACCAAGTCGAAACTTTCGCTCTTATTTTTCAGCAAACTCTGGACTTCCGGATGATCGAGCTCGGCTTCCGCGACCTCTTTGAACATCCTGAAGTATGTCTGCAAGATCGTGAGCCATCTTGCGGATTTCCAGTCGAGACTCCTGATCTGTGACTTTCTAAAATAGATAAAACTAACTTGGTAGCGCCACAGCGGACTCTGCTTGGAATCGGAAATTGTTTTCTTTGTCATATACTTTAATAGTAGTAGAAGAATGGATTACATGCAAGAATTTTAGTTTCATCGAATAAAATTTTATGTCCGGTTTCGTGATTGTGTTCGGCAACTGCTGATAAGTTTGTTTGTCTTAGTCTTAGTGCTCTTTCATGTTCTTTGAGCCTAATTGGTGTTTTTTATCCGGTCTCTAAAATGTATTTTTTGCCGCATATGCATGGAATGCTGTAAACTCCTAGCATCTCAAATGGAATTTTGTCTTTGACGAATCGAAGACGTTGAGAGATTTTTGGACAGTTGGTATGGAGAGGATATGAAGCGCAAATGCAGAAAGTTAGATCACTGACTGAAACTGGTAAGATTACTCTTTTTGTTACGTTGTAGAGACCATAACGTTATTCCCAATTTTTTTAAAATATCCCATCATGTTAAAACCTCGTGCGCTTATAAAACTTTTCGAAAATCTAGTTTCGCTTTACTTCGACAAAGAATTCATCATACCTGTCAGGAAATGGACCTAATCAATAAGACTTTTCTGTCTCTGCATCTTGAAATTGCTTCCATCTTGTCTCCATCCGAGTTCGATACTTAATCTCCGTTTATCTTCTACCCAGAATCACATTCAGATATTTGAAAAACTACCGTCAACACTAGGGAAACCATCAAATTCTTGTCAACTACCAAATACTGTGATAAGTGTATCATCGCACCAACTTTCGGAAACGGAAAAATTAGTTATTTATCCTTGCCCCACGTATTATCCCAAAAGAGGAAATCATTTCAAATGTCGAGTCCATCCTAACAAACTACCATCTTAAACAGCTAATTAAATTCGATTTGAAACCTAATATTGCAACGCATGAATGCATTGCCCTAATATCTTTAAAATCTAATCAAGACATCGTAATCCAGGTAAAGGACATCGTAAGCAGGTAAAGAAAATTGCTACGGTGGTCATGAACACAAATCAGAAAGATTTAAAATATTCTTACAGATGGATCATATCGTCAATTCATAACGCAACCTTAAATCTATCATTAAGGATTCTTCTCCATCAGATACCGTGAAAAAAACTGTCACCCCTCATGATTTTAAAATTCCTCGTCTCTACGGACTCCCAAAGATTGACAAACCAGGCCGAAGGGGTAATTTCGGCCTATTGTCAGCACCATTAGTTCTCCAACATATTCTCTAGCAAAATATCTGGCTTTCTTATAAACAACCTTAAGAGGGAAAACTGACAGTTTCGTACTTAATGCCTTTCACTTCATTGAACAAATAAAAAGCATTACATTAGATACACAAGATATTCTGGTTAGTTTCGACGTAGAATCCCTCTATAGTTCCTATTCCTAAAATTCTCACTATCATTTCAGATATATTAAAATCCGAGAATCTGGAACCTAATCTTCTCACCTTAAGTGAAAAATGCTTATTTTTAACATATTTTTCTTTTAACGGTCAAATTTTTGAACAAACGTCGGGAGTTCTCCCCTATCACCAGTTATCGCGAATATATTTATGGAAGCCTACGTCGATATTACTTTTGTTATTTGGGCTTATGGTCAGAAAACCCTAGTAGATTTTCTTAGACATTTATACTCTTTACATCCTAACATAAGTTTTACCATTGAAATAGGTTCTTATAAATAGAAAATCAGACCTAAAATTGGGTCATTGTGTTTACAGAAAACCTACGGATACAGAACGATACCTTAATGCATTGTCACATCACCATCCGGCCCAAAAATCATCGATTATCACCTCTCTTGTTTACAGAGTCGCAACAGTATTAAAACAACTTACCTCTGCTCTTCTCTATAATTTCGACATTAAAGATATTAAGCGTTCCATCACAAAATACCCTTCACCACAACCTTCCAATAGCAATGAAACAGAAACCACTGTTGTCCTTCCTTATATTCAAAACATTACTGACCACATATCTTGTCCAAAAATCTCTCAATATCTTCGATCCGTCAAAGACAAAATTCCATTTGAGATGCCAAGAGTTTACAGAATTCCATGCATATGCGGCAAAGAATCCATTGAAGAGACCGGACGAAAAATATCAACTAGGCTCAAATAATAAGAACAACTACCGAACACAATAACGAACATAAAATTTTATTCGATAAAGCTAAAATTCTTGCATGTAATCAATTCTTCTACCAAAGAAAAATCCGAGAGTCTATAGAAATTTATAAGCAATCTAACAATCTTAACCTGTCACCAATATGGGAATCAGGCATCCGAGACGGTGTTTATGCCCTCATTTAGCTCGGCCCCCCTCAAACAATGTAAAAGCAGGTACAGAGTAAAATGCGAGCCAGTTTCAGTCAAGCTCTGAAGAAGCCAACAGGATGATTGGCGAAACGTTAGCTAGTTCGACTCAATAAAAACCGACGCAGGAGGAATTCAGTAGTTTTATAAAAAGTATTACAGTACAGAAAAATGTAATAAGATCTTGTTTAAAGCGTTTGTGACGGCTACTTTGTTGAATAGTTTCTTTGAAAAAATGAATTTTGACTTTTGAGTGTTTTTGATAGCGACAAACCTGTGTTTATAGGATACCTGTTAAAAATTTTATTCGTTATATATTTTAAATTGGTAAATTATACCAACAAAAGATTCTTTTTGGATAAGTAAAACATTCGCATCTATTGGATATTACATTATGTGATTATGTTTAATAAATAAATAATAACTTAAATAAACACAATTTAGTACTTAATAAATAAAAAAAAAACAATAGTTTACTATCTCCTGTAGTAAAGTAAGTAAACACTAATCTCATGGGATTTTATTTCTATAGAAGTCTTTTCCCAGACTGACGCTTTCGTAAACTAATAAAATGTTAAGATTTATATAGTGTTCTCCCGTCTAATCTCAAAAAATGTACCTTTAAAACAATTTTAAATGAAAATGAAATGTGTTTTGCTTAAATCAGAAGGCTTTTCAGGACACTAATGAATACTTCGAGCTACTCTGAAATGACTTCTTGTATTATGGTTCCTGAAAAAAAATGTTTAACTGTTCAGTTGCATGCATGTGAACCTATTTTGTGTAGTTATTAATTACTTCTATCTATAACATAAAAACTATAGCTATTTCCCAGTAACTCCCAATGTTTTGTTATTTGCATTATTGACTTGCCCGTTATTGGTGTGTAACTTATTTAAATTTCTATTCTATTTTATTCAACCACTTATTATACAGGATCCTTCAACACAAATACAAAAAACTTAAGAGAACAGACAAATTCTTGTTTAAAATAAAGGGTTCGTTATTTTTTTTTTAATTTTTTCATTTTTTATTTTAAATACAGAAATACATAGAACATTAAAATATTAATGAAGCTTTTTCCTCATATTTTTTTCATTGTTTGTAAATAAGTGGAGAGAATTAGACTCCCCTATCATTCATAACAATATGTAATGACGTGGAAAAAATAAATTTCTGCCGACGGGCTCATTGGAAACTATTTTCAATTAGGAAAAAAACATTTTCGGTCCGAAATCTCTTGGTAAACGAGCTTGAGTCCTCTACACTTGGTATGAATCTAACTGTTGCACTTTTAATATCTTTAATGCAGCAGTACTTAATTATGCTTCAATTTTAATACTACTCGTCTCCGGTCGCCCTTCCAGAATATTTACCACAGCAAATTCTTTTTTTTTTTCGAAACTTCGAGATGCAGGCTTTATTGACGCCTGGCAAACAAGCTGTTATGAAGAGGCATACGTATAGAATGCGCTTGTGTATAAAGGGAACCTTCCACGGAATTTCCGTTTGCATTGTTGTATATCAGCCATTTTTGCATTACTGTAATTCACCATTATTGAATTAAAACTCTTACTACCGACCAATTAAATTAAAACAAACATTTTTTTCTATAAAGCCAGACTAAATACCAACAGAATTAGAATTATTTGCTTAACTTGCCCAAACAGCCAAAATGGGAGAGTATAGACCACTTAAAGATAAGAGCGCCGACCTACGTATATATTGGTGCGTATTGTTTGGAAATAAAAAATAAATAGGTATTTTGGTATTCTTTATCGTTTGATTTAGTTCTTTCCTCTTTTCAAGACATAAAATATCTAGGTTAATACATTTTTTTAAAACTGCCCAACGTCAGATATTCTTAAAATATTTAAATAAAATATTATTTGACCATCAAATAATAATGCGTATTAAAATAATCAAACAGCGGACACGCCCCATTCGTTTAAACTCGCAAGACAAAGACAACAATTCCCATTACTAGCCTTTTTTTCTATTGCTTACTTTTCGTAGACGTAGTGGAGGTCTATTTCTCTGATGCGGGGGTAAGTACTTTCCATCGGGTCAGTGGTAAGTACGGTGAGATCGTGACCTTTGTCTGCAAGTTTTTTCCATATTGGCCGGAAAAATAAGTTGTGGCTGTAACTCGGATGCGAGGCAATAGCCAAGATCCTCGCGCACAGGCACTCAGCCAACAAGAACGACGTAATTATAAACAACTCTTTGATGATCATGTCGTATAGCGATCTGCTTGTCCGTTGGGCCCTACGGTTTTGTTTTGTATCGTTCTTATCGCCGGTTTTGGGTCGTCATTGTTTAACTGTTTACCTAAACTGATTGAGTGATGTTTAACGCGGTTATACCCTGTTTGATTGAAAGGCAGGGTAAAAAAAACAGTTACATTGAAACTCGGTCGGTTATGTCGACGTCTGCCGAAATTTCCGGTCATCGGTGTGCCCTTTTTCAAAGCAACTTCCCTTTCTAAAAGAGACGAAAACTGCCGGTTTTTGGAGATAAGTTCAAACAAAAAAAGTAACAGTAAAAACCTCACATAGATATTTGCTACCCTTTCATTATTGTAAAGAATTGTTGTAACACTTTTGCTACTCTATGAAATGTAAATTCACGAAAAAATTTCCTTATTTTCGATTTTTTGCGCATTTAAAGTAAAGAAAGTTGGCACTTGGGTTTGGACGACGTGATCCGAGTACGCCAATAACTGCGTTCTGCCAAATTGTTGATTTGTAATACAGTTTTGTACACTCACTAATTGTACCTTGGCTCAAATAGCGATTTTCACACACTTAACTCGTGTTCCTAGAACATTTAATGAGATCTAGGCGTATTTAAATACATTGGTTAGATTTTAAATCTCGTGCTTTCTCAGAATTGTTTTCATAGTTTGTTCTCAAGTTCCTGATTCATCGGCATATCTTTTTTTTGTTTTATTATTTTTTTTAATCCACCAAGAATGTAGACAGCAAGCAATTTGTACATCGACCAAAATCCTTAGAGAAAACGACTTCTTATTTTTGGTCAGTTTGAGAAGGTAAGGTCAATAAACAAGTTACAAGAAATAGGACCCTTTCAAAATAATCCTATGACGTCATCACGGAGGCAAAAGGCATCAAATTAGCTGGCAAGAATATCACTAAGTAATTACTAAGTAATTTGCCGTTGATTTTTCGAGAGATTAAACTCAAGGTAAAGTAATTACCGACGATATCATAATTTGACAACATTAGTTTTCGTCTATTTCTTACAAGTAGTGCCGACGATCAGGAGATTATTCTTGACTTGGCCCATATTTTTAATATAGCCAATTTGAAAATGTAAAAAAATGTACAAATCAAAATTAGGAGATTTAGGTACATTATTTGAAATAGTATATCTTTTGTGAATTGTTAGCAAATATTCAATATTGAGTGTTTTCTATTGCTTTCAGAAATACGAAGAAGGCCCTGCTTATTAGTTATTATTCTGGTGCTGCCATGCATTGTTGGCCAGTTTCACGAAAAATATTCAAAGGATTTTGGCATCGGCCATGTTGTAAGTTGCGTTTTATTTTAGTTTTTTTTTGTTGTTGTTTTTTTTAATTTAGCAAAGGGGAATTGCACAGTCAGTTCACAATATGACTTATTTGGTAGTTTTGATTACTAACCCACTGACTGCAATAGTATTATTCATATATGTTGTATTATTTTAAATTGTGAATATAAGTATTTAATTCGGTTTTGGAAACTACTGTTCGATATTTAGTTGTTCTTACGATTATAACACAATAATTATGATAACGGCAATTATTATCGCTAATTATTTGTCAATGTTTACTTGAGGAGGTCGTTATTCCAAATTGTTACGAGCGTTTTGCTGACTCACTTCGCACACATCATTCTACTAAAACCGCTTGGTCAAGTATCTTTTTATTCACTGATTATTAATTTTTTTCTCGGAGTAGACTTAAAAAGGCTATGCAAATTAAAAACAACGGACTACCAATAAAAAATCTCTCGGAATTTCAAACATTGCGGCCTACTTTATCTCAGAAAACAGGGAAGTTATATATTTAATATAAATTGATGATTGTAGTAGCTGTCTTATTGCGGGAAAAAATATTTAGAAAATGAAGCTGATGATAGTGTTTTGAAGACAAATCTAAGCACACCATGTTGCAGACAGTAAAAATGGAATTGTTGCTTTAAAATCATCCGATTTTTAGGTTTTTAACAGAATAAATTTCGACGAGTTTTATAAATATTTCCGAAACTAGCAGACAATCTTATTCTACTTTAACCATCATTATATTGTTAAACTAACCAAAACTAACCAAAACTATTTTTTAATTAATTTTAAATAAAATAATTTTTTCTTATAAATCCATTGTTGTGTATTCATTTGTATTTGAAGGAAAAAAAAACAATAAAAATATTTTTTTTTATATGAAAATCTCCTAATGTTATAATTTTATGCTGAAAGAAAAACTAACTAAATTTTTCTTTAGTTTTCGAAACCCTTTTAAATGTCACTTTGTCATTCGATTTATCATGACACAAAACTGCATTTACAAAAATTACCTGTTTATCGTGACACCGGTTTTTAAAATGCTGCATTAGTAACAAGATTTCTTTCGAAAAATCGTCGCTGGGCGGGGCAAGTTTGCAGCGCATAGCGCGAAGCAGCTTTTAATTATAAATGGAAATAACTTCACGGTTTCGTGTGAGAAAGGGAGGCATTGTTTTTATATTGTGCTCCTGCGGGCCACTATGGAACATTCGCAAACTCGATGTAGTTTAATTGTGCATGCATCCTGTATAAAATGTCGTTCACATATCGTCGAACTTCAAAGTTTCAACAAACATCGGTAAATATTAAAATTTGCACAAATAACAGCGTTGTCGAATGATATTTTAGCAAATTTCTAGCGCCCTGTATAATTAACGAAACCTGAAACTCTCTCACCACACGGTTTAGGATACTGTTCAAATAAAATTATTCCATCTTTAACGGTTTTTAATTTATCTAAAACACAGATTTGAAATTATTGCCAATTTTCAATAATCGGGGGAACCATTTTTCAGTTCATTTGGATTTGCGGCGCACCCTGTATATTTTTGAAAAATTGTCAAGAATAAAAGTTTATGGTGTCATTTCCTCTGCGTCTTCTGGGCGTGGCAAGTTCATAGCGTGAAGCAGCTTTTTATTATTAAAGGAAGGAGCTTCGCGGTTTCGTGTGGTAAAGGGACGCATTGTTTTTCTAACGTGCCCCTGCGGACCACTATGGAGCTTTCGGAAAATCGATGTAATATAATTGTGCATACACCCTGTATAAAATGTCCTTCACATCTCGTCGAACTTCAAAGTTACAGCAAACATCGGTAAATATTAAAATTGCGAGTCCCGTATAATTGACGAAACCTGAAAGTCTCTCACGACACGCTTTACGATACTGTTCAAATAAAATTATCCCATCTTTAACGGTTTTTCATTTATCACCAATAATTTACCCACAAAAACGGAAATTTTTAGGATATTTTAGATTTTTTGCCCATAAACGACTCACCCTGTATATGATATAATCATTCTTCGCTTCCTGGTTTAAGAATTTTTTGAAAATAGTAAATGGTTTTCGAAAAAATAAGTTTTTTCTGAAAATCAATGACGTCATCGCGTGTTGACAGTGCCCGAAATAACGATTTCAATATGGATTTTTGCACTGCACATACAAAAATTGTAGGTCTTGATGCGGCCTATGACAGCGTTTGAATCAATGAGCCATATTTTTTACGATTTTTGATTTGCGGCTAATAATTTACTCTCTAAAAAACAATTTTCTAGGTCTTTTAGATTTTTGCCTATAATTTCAAAACCCTGTATATAATCAAAAAAATGCACGAAATAAATGTTATGCACTGGATTTTTTGCGTCTGCCGGTTAAAGAATTTTGCCAATCGGAAGAACGACTATGGAGGGAAACATATTTTTCTGAAATCTAAAATTACCAAAAAAAAAAAAAAATTGAAACATTTTTAAAAAATACTTGGTAAAATTGTATTGCGCTAATTTATACTGTTTCAATGTGGACACGGTCTTTTAATTCTCTGCTAAATTTGAAGTTGATATCTGCAAATTTAGGACACGTGCTAAATTAAAAATGTGTTATTTTTAATTTAGCACGGAATATCGGGAACACCCTGTACAATAGGTGAAAACCTTAAATACAAAAGTTTTTTCTGTCTATGGGGGCTATATCACAATATAAACGAAATCTTATTTACAGTCTTTCAGTTATAACGAATTTTCTATAATAGGGGGACCTATTTTTCAGTTTTTTGAATTTGCGGCACACCCTGTATATTTTTGAAAAATTGTCAAAAATAAAAGTTTATAGAGCCGTATCTTCTGCGTCTCCTGTTTCAAGAATTTTTTTGGTCTCCTAAACAGTTTTTGGAAAATGATGTTTTTTGTAGACCCTTGCACACGCGATTTTTTATTTTTTCAGAATACTTCCCGACCCCCCAGCCCCCCCATTTTCAATATATGAAGTCGATAGCTTCAAATTTCGGACACTTATCGTGTTTCATAGCAAGGTCCAAAAGTAGTGGAAAATCTCGAAAAAAAGATGGAAACCAACTATACTGCGCGCATGACGACACCATGATCTTATCTGGCCACTCGAGATACCTTCAAACAAAATCGTCACTAGTGAACGACATTACGAACATGTGGTTACATTGGTTCACGGTCGCTTTGCTATGTTTCTACAATTCGTGCCAGGCGGCCGATATTTTGGCCGTGGCTCCTCAGCCGCAGCTGAGCCACCAGATAGCCTTAAGGCCCCTTTGGATTGAACTGGCTAAGCGAGGACACAATATCACTTTGATCACGACTCATCCCGCAAGGAACTCGACGCTGAAGAACTTGAGAGAGATAGATATCGGCTACTGCATCGATATTAGAGAGAGATACAACATCACGAGTAAGTCACCTGAGGACTAACAAAATTAAATCATAATAATGATGGCAGCCAGTATGTCTATTGTCGGAATCCAATTCGAGCTGCCCCATATTTATTTGAAAGTTGAATTTACCACACTGTACTTTACCACGTTATAAGTACTAAATATATTTAATCCTCGTCACAAATTTTTAGCTACCTTCGGGTGGTAAAATTATAGGTTTTGTATATTTATTCTCTGAATTTCCGATAACAGCTGAAATGATTTATCGAAATTAAGGAAAATTGTACTCCTCTTGCGCCACACAGTGATCAAATTTAAATTTAAAATTTAAATTATAATAAATTGGTATTTATAAATTTTTAGTGTTTTGACAGATATACATCGCAGTTAGTAGATTACTTTTTACTTTGGTATTTAAAAGTTTACAAAAGAGCTCTCTTTATTATTATTATATTTTATAATATATTGCAATTTTGTTTTTACTGGGTATAAAATTTGATTCGCCCTGTGCTAACTAGTAGTAAGTATTCTATATATATCGTAAAACAAATGTTTTTTTCGTCATAATATTGCAGTAATGTGACATCGTGTGGCTCGACTTTTACGCGACCATTTTGTTTTCCCAGGGATGGCCTGCGATGAGGCCGTGAGTTCCGTTACCGTAGCAACGGCGATTACCAACGCCAACTTCGAGTGTATGGAGGCTCAGCTCTCGAGTGCGGAGGGTCAAAATTTGCTTAACAACCAAGACAACCATTTCGATTTGCTCATAACGGAAGCGCAATTGGCCACGACTATAGCGTTCAGTTGGAAATTTCAAGTTCCTTATATCGGTACGTACTACAAAAGAAAAAAGTTACCCAGTCCTTGCGGTAGCTCGAAATTAGTAAACCCACTGGCACCGACACCCGCACAAACTACGCTACTACCTACCAGGTCGATAACGATGAGTGACTATAATCATCGGTAATGATGTAAGTAGTTAAAAAATGACCCGGTCGGTCATTGAGAAGGAAATTAAAGTTAATTCTGCGCAAACTTGCGTTCTAATATTGTCTCAGTATGTCTCCAACGGTAATGTTAATCAATAATGCCATTTAAAAAAGTAAAATTACCTACACTAGGTGCTGGCGCTCTTACTGAAATTAGGACATTGTCGGCAGCATGATTAATTGTTGGACACAGCTCAAGTTTGATTGCTGTATTTGTTTTTCTTCTCACTCTCTGATCCAAAAATATTAATTTTGGTTTCGATGAGAATATCACAGTTATCTATAATTCTGCATGCTTTATAACATACTTTTCTGCTAAATCGAGTGGCTTATAGTTATTTTGCTCCTGTGGGAAACGTTTTTTCTCTCTATGCGACCAATATACCCAACGGTATACACTGTTACAGTTTGGAGATATAGTCAACAGCAGGTGCACCTTCGAAAGGTTGCTATTCTAATATACTTAATCGGATACTATGTTTATTTAATACACATACAATCATTTTTTGTGGTGGGGATATAGTCTATACGTATTTATTGTGAGTGTATAAATCAGAGTTTTTAAAGTAAATGACTAGATATTAAGGTGCCTTTTTAAAGTATTCATATTTATACATACATTCATTTCAGTTCTTTTTCCGCTTCCTTGTCCTTAGTAATTTTATCTCAACCTCCAACATCAAAACTAGTTAATAATAATAACATTGGTAATTGGAAAGATTTTTGATCAACGAACTTACTTCTTTAGCTTTAACTCTATTTTCCATATTGTTAACTTTTAGCTCCGTTCCCATCCTTCACGTTACGACCGAGAAAATGTACAACTATCAGCAAGATATGAGTTATTACAGGCCAAGTGAAACCGCTTTGTTTGAAAAGGCTGGATCTAACTCGATTTAATGTCTTTGATCTCCTGTTATTTTTTAGGAATAACTTCTTTGGACGCTTCACTTCCCTTCCATATAGCGGCCGGAAATTCCATCCATCCGATAGCCGTGCCCGATCACAACCTCCGAGTCCAAGATCCCGCCCATCTAAGCTTTTCCGAGAGGTTTTCCAGCGCATTTTACAACTACGCCTACCGGCTGCTGCTGAGGTTCCAATTTTATCCCGAAGCGCACTCGAGGATGAAGAAATTTTTCGGCGAAGATCTGCCGCCATATACTGAGCTACAGAAAAACATGAGCATGCTATTCGTTACCACTAACCCCCTGTTTCATTCGGTGAGGGCGTTGATGCCCAACACTATTACGTTCTGGAACGGTCTTCAGATATCCGAGGAGAAACCACTGCCAAAGGTATCTTTGAAATTAAAAGAACTTAGATCTTCTATTACCACTATTGTATCATCTGTAAACTAAACTAATAATGAAGACTACCATGGTCATATACAAGTTTAATCTTGTGACCGAGCTGAGTACGGTCAGCCATTAAAGTCTCGACTAAGGACTTCAATACTTCGTTCATTAAGAACTCAAAATATCTTGTAGATATCATTGAGGATATGATAAAATTATTAGCTTCGATGTAGAAACTATAAGTCAATATCTCAGAAAGACATGGGCGAGGCTAGATTGAGGGAAGGCACAACGTTTTCAGAAAGGACTTCGTTGCCATTTGAGGTGCGGTCTGAATAACTCTTATTTTTATCTTAAACACAAAATTTATATCCAGTATAATGATTTGCCGAAGGGTTCTTCACTTTTTCAGGAAATGAATAAGAAATGCTATAAATCTGACTTCAATATGTTCGCGATACTTTGATAATCTGGAATGAACCCAATAATTCACATAATTTCATGCAGTGAAATTAAGCATTGAGATAGAGAGAAAATCCTATCTGCTGTTTGTAGTTGTCATTCTGCTAAAGAGTAGTAGAAGTGTTTATTGAAGACAAACACAGAGCAATGAGAATTTGCACACCAGAGATCTCTGGAAATGAATAATATTAAAATAAGTTTACTTCATAATGGTTAACCATATAACCAGTTTTCAAACAGGATTAATACACCTTCCACACGATAAAGACACTCTTTCACTCTTTACGATTTCGTATATACAAGATCAGAAAAGATCAGATGAATAGCGGAAGAATTTAACATCCGAACAGTTTTCAAGTAAGGAACGACTTTAAGAGTGGAGGGAGAGTGGTATATTGAAGAAACAAAGCTTCTTCTAAATATGCGACACGAAGAACATTGTATTGTATTGTCCACAGAGAATTCAGTAGAAAAGGCGAAAATTTAAAGAAATAGTAACAACGGATTTAGCAACCCAAGCATGGAAGTGCTCATAATTTGGTACCTATTAGTAAAGCACATCAGCATTGGTGTCCTTGGTAGACCGCTTCATGATTGGCTACATTCATCTACTCATCTCACAAATGAATACCTCAAATGAGGATATAGGCGCAGTAATTGTCACAATTAGTGTAGTTTTCAGTAATTAAGTAACGTAAAGACACAAGAAGTTCGAAGTTCTTTTATCTTCAACTTCCAAAGGTTCTGTCAACCTTGTTTTGTAGGAACTCGCCGAGTTCTTAGACGATGCGAAGCATGGGGCGATATTCTTCAGTTTCGGAAGTATCATCCCGGCCGATCTGGTAGACGACAAGACGAAGTTGGAGATTATGGAAACCTTTGCCAAACTTCCGTACAAAGTTTTGTGGAGGATCAAGCACGAGTTTACGAAGATCCCGCCGAACGTCAGGGTCGAAACCGGCTGGGTACCGCAGCAGGATATTCTGAGTAAGCGTCGATTTTCATCCTGAATCAGGTATCGATTTTCGCTTTTAGGGCACCCAAATTTGAAGCTGTTCATAAACCACGGAGGATTGCAATCGCTTCAAGAAGCGGTGGTACACGGGGTACCGTCGATAAGTGTGCCGTTCTTCGGCGATCATTTCATGAACGCCCGCAGGATGAACCTGCTTGGTTACGGTATAGAGATCGCGAGAAGCGCCCTCAACGAAAAAACCCTGACGGAAGCGGTGACTAAAATAATGACCGAATCGAAGTGAGGACGTTATGGGTGGTCCAGTGGCGGTTAACGAGTCGGTTTGTTTAGGTACCGCGACAAGGCAAAGGAAGTCGGGGAGATATTTAAAGACTTGGATTTTCCTTCTTTGGAAAAGGCCGTCTGGTGGACCGAGTACGTAATCAGGAACAAAGGGGCGTGGCACCTTCAAAACCCCGCGCTACGCATACCCCTCTGGCAGTATTACCTCTTGGATGTCATCGGGATCGTTTCGTTGGTCGTGTTTGCCTTCTTCTACTCGTTGGTTAAAATGTGGAGGCTTATGTTGAGGCTAGTCCTGCGAAAGCGCAGGAAGGCAAAAACCGAATAATGTTGCTGTTTTACAATTCGTATGTATTTGTAGCAAGAAAAATAAAAAAATGATTTTATATTTGAAAACTTAATTCATATGTGTTTGAATCTATTCTAGCCAGACAGGCACATTTGAACCACTTAGTACGGCATTATACCTCCATATGTCCCTAAACGTCCATATTCTTCTCCTCTACCTCCATATATGTTGTAGTCTAAGAGCTAACAACGTTTTCGAGAGAGAATTTCAGGTAGGCCGCTTTTTAGGTATGCTATCTCTCTCACTCTCTCGGACGTCACAAGGGCTATCTGGGTGGCGTTAGTGGTCTCATTCATCAATGCGCATCGTACCTCTACAGGTAAAATATCACTTTTTTAAATCATTTTAAGAAGATTTCTTTTTGTTATTGTTTCAATTAGACAAATGAATCCATTATCGCTAGATATCTTTATTTATGTTTAAGCTGTGGCAAACGCCAATTTTGAATTTAAAAAAAAATTCAAAATATTCTAGTAGGGCTGAAATTTTTATATGATGTTATTTGTATATCTAAAAACTCAAAATCATTTGCTAAACAATAATTCAATTGTTGAACCTTTAGCCAGACCGATTTAAAAGTTAAAAGTGATTGGGCATGTTGGAACAGTACACACTGTCACCCGTTAGTTGGGCATGCGAGATAGACGACAGCCGCTGTTTGTCAATTTAGTCATATTGGTGTATCGATTGCTGTTATGTTATACCAATGTCTTTAACGAAATTGTGCTACAATGACTGATGATACCTGTCGATATCGTCTTCGATCAATATTTTACACCGTCGTTCACGTCGGGATGAATCAATCAATAAAATTCGTGCACATAATTTTGTAGCTGAATTTAAAAATATTTGTTTTCAAGAAGCTCTTGTTATTTTTTTATTGACTGGTGACGAAATGTCGTCATTCATAATTTATGTGAACTTCAATGAGTGCTATTCATACATGGTTGAAGGTTATAAAGTTATTCAAAGTGTACGAAATTCTAGGGAATTCTTTATTGAAAGCTCTACCATGCTTTTTTTCCGGAAAGGTAAACTTCGACCTTCGAACTGTTAGAGCAATCAAATCAGAACAGTATCAGTCAGCCTGTCAAAATATTATAGCAAATCATTAAGAATCGCTGGACGAGACATTTAAAATCTTAGAAAAATTTATTTGTCATATTTACGGAGCTCATGATTCTTGCAACATCAATGACGTTCGGTTCTATCCGTTCCATCCGTAATTTTGACCCATCAAGTCTCCCACCATGTAAAGCTGAATTGCATCAGCATTTACTACGAGTTCGTTAAGTCACAAAGTTTTTGAGAAATGCTCCTTTTAAAAACCCAACGTCTGTATCACCTTAAGCTTCCGGCTGGAGCATAAACGACAATAAATATGGCTTTGTCTGGTTTATTGGAGAGCAATTACCGTTATTAGTTTTGGTTAGTTTTGGTTAGTTTTGGTTAGTTTGAAGGCAAAAATTAAAAATAAAATAGTAATAAATTTCTTTGCTGAAAGATTATGACATTTTTCATTCTATTACAGATAATAACTTTACTATGACAACATTGATGTAGATGATGATTATCAAGTTGCCTCCGTTCTTGTGATACAATTATGGATTAAAAAATCTAACCTAATTTTCCCGTAACCGTCCATTTTTATTTTATTTTCATATTTGAGGTTGATCATTGTCTTAATTAATTTAATGGTCTTGGTCCTTTCTCTGAAATTTATTTGACAACTATTTCTACACCAAGCAAAATGAAAAAACACCATTTTTCACTTTTAGATCGGTCTGGCGGAAGGTTTAGCAATTGACTTACTGTTTGGCAAATTGGTTTTAGGCTTTTAGATATACAAATAACATCATATAAAAATTTCAGCCATACAAAAATATTTTGAAAAATTTTTTTTTTAATTCAAAATTAGCGTTTGGCACAGCTTAAACAACAATAAAAATATCTGGCAATAATAGATTCATTTGTCAAAAAGTTCAATTAAAATAATAATAAATAAGGAACCTTCTCAAAATGATTTTAAAAAAACAGGCACGATGCGCGGACGCAACCACTACCGCCGGATAGGGAGAGTGAGAGAGATAGCATATCTAAAATCTGGCCTACCTTAAATTCTCGTTTTCCCGAAGTTGCTAGCTCTCGTAGATATAATGGGATATAAATCAGATTATATGTCAGGCATACGGGGTAGTTCAAATGTACCGATTTGCCTGGCCCGAGCGACGCAATACTATTTTCACTCTACCCATTTTGCCATTGCAGGTTTTATAACTTTCAATTTCCTGTTGTTGGGGTATCGGGGAAAGGCTTTTATTAAAGAAAATCTTATAAAATTATTTATTTTTTTAATAAAATATTTAATAAGTTACACATTCACACACTCGCTCCAACTCTATAAATTTTAGGTATGGGGCTCTAGCTGCTTTTGTTGTTCCAAAACTCTCGACAAGTCTGCACAAATTCCCTGTAAAAAATTGGTATTGTATTAATTTCTAAAAAATCAAACCGCACGAAAATTTTAATTTTATTCTGGCTCGTGATGATGTGAAAAAAATTAAACGCCAACGATTTTCTGTTATATATAATGGTATTTCATTGATGGCTTACTAAGAACTTAGAAAGTGCGACAACACTATTGTCATCGCAACATGGGTGTGGTATTTCTAAATCCACCTGATGATTTATCATGTCAATGGTAGTTTGAGTGGGATTATGGACAATTTATCAATAAGTTATCAATAATCCTATTTAATTTGCATTGTCTAGGTAATTTCTTTGCAAATCTTTAAAAAATCGTTAATAAAGCATCAACAAACATAAATCACGATAAATCGCAGTTAATTTTTGCGAATTTTACAGCAAGACACCAATTATATGCTCTTAGGGTGATACCTACGAAATATAGGTTGGTACGGCGGGATCACTGGTGCACCACACGTGTCCATAGCCCTTTTCCGCCGCGAACCCGTGGAAAGTTGCGTTTCCTTGCTGAGATAAATTTCTTTCCTTCGCGGCCACTTCGTGCAACTGAAAATATCATTGAGTCAGAAATTATCCCCCGCAACCAGTTCGCCAGACCTTTTCTCCCAAATCGTAGGGGACTACGTTATCGTCTTCGGCGTGCAGTTGCATCACGGGACAGTCTACCGACAGAATATTAGACGTAGACCTGAAATGGAACCCGTTGTTGTCGAGAGGCCTCAAAATAGTCGCGTCGAACCACGCCAACCACTTGAAAAGCTAAAACAAACGGTTGACATCAAACTTATTAGTCGTGATTGAACCCATGTACCTTTCCGATCGAAGTGGTGACGATAACGTCAGCCATAGTCGAGAATGCAGATTCCAAAATGAGTCCTTTTGGTACTGCGTTCCTTTGTTCCTTCAACGCTCGCACCGTGTGACAAGACAAGGCGGAACCTAGAGAGTGACCCCAGTAGTAGAGGTCGTTCTTGGGGTTGAGACTTCTCACCCAGTCGTAGATTTGGACGTGGTCGTTGATGACTGCAGCTTCCGATAATACTACATTGGTGCCAGAGTCACCATAACCTGGAGAATGTCATAAAGTAATGTATACCAAGGAGACCACCACCTGAAAATTTGCAAGAGCACTGCAAGTCTTAAGCGCACTGGATGGAGGAGAGCTTGTTACGAGGATGCAAAACTCGCTATGTGTCTGAAAATGGAGACATACTTCTCTGCAATAGGAAGAGTTAAAAAGACAAATTCAGTCGTTCATTTAAAAGTTAGCTAAAAGTTACAGCGAAATTGGTAGAGGCGGCAAAAAGGGCAGAAAGTGAAGATAAATGTTTGGAGACAGGGAAGTCTGTGATTAGGCTTTGTTTTAAAGAGTGGAATCATCTAGATACTTAGACAATGAAATAAGCTATCAAGGAGAAGAAGAAATTAAAGAATAAAAAATCCCAGGTTCTTAAGGAACATGTTGCATAGAATGATAACATGTGTTCCCACAAATGATGTCATCAGGTATTACCTCTGTGATCGATCGCGATGATTAAGAAATGTTGCCGAAGGACGCCATATTGTTTGACGGGTTGGGCCCTGTTGGCGGCTACGCCGTGCAAGTACAGCAAAATGTCTTTGTCCGAGTTTTTGATAATATCTGCCACGTTGTTGGAGGAGTTGGACATGTTCATGTCATCTTGGTGGAGGACAAGCCAGGCACCGATGGAAGTTATGGTGTTGTTGTCATCGTAGTCTTTCACGCTTATGTAGAAGTTGTAGACACCTTCGATGCCGTAGTATTCGGGCTGGTCGAATACGGGATCGGGAGGGTCGTTCCCTACACAGAAACCATGGATGCAAAACCACCTCTCAAAATACCGTTAATGTAAGTTCCGTTTGATGAGGGAGTAATAAAACATATAAGAGCGTGGTAGTTAGATCTGTTCAATAATCCAACAAAACCGCTCAATATTTTTTTACATTCATTTATTATTCTCAATTATTAACTTTTGTTTTCGTTGTGAGTCAAAAATTTAAAGCGTTTTGGTAAATATATAAAGAAATAAATAAATAAATACAATTTCTTTGCAAGGGATAAAAAATTTAGACATATATTTTGAAAATAAACAAAAAATATGTTTTAGGCGCTCACAATTTTTCTGACAAGCTTATTGTGAAAGTTAAAAGTGAAATTATAGGTCGATTCAACCCAAATGGGTAATGTTGATTTTTCTAATGGTGGCCGTATTGGATTTTCAACCCATTGAACAAAAAACCATTTCAATATTGAATGTAATATTGAAAGCCGCATTGGGTATTTTAAAAGTTTCATAGTCCAAGAACCAGTATGTATTACATCTAATTAAGTGCTAGTTTCGTACTCACGTGGTATAAACATCATGTATCGTTGAATCTGTATGGATAACCAGAACGTTATGGGAATGACAACCCATATTAATATAAATATCAATAAAATCAAGGCGGCTCTGGAAAAAAAGGCGTAAATAAAAGTTTGCCGTCGAGAGAGCCACTGCCATGATCACGCAAAATAAAATTGAATAAAATCCCATTTTATTGGAAAAACAATATAAATCAGTCAATTATTTAATTTATAAGGCCAATTGATGGTCTCTATGAAAATATAATCTCGATTGATATTGATTAGCATTAGATATGTCAGATGATTCACGAATTCTATCCAAGATTAGGTGGAATTGAAAATGCTATTTTTAATTAAACAGTCAAAAGATTGCAATTCGGGTAAAAAAAATATTCCTTTTGTGTTAAGTATGAATTTGTCTAGCTGCGATCTTCAACTGAATGTTCGTAATCACAACATAACCTTTTTTATGAAATAACACTGAAAGAAAAAAAATCTATTTCCATCAAAGCAACAGTTTACTTAATAACATACTTGTGCCCTTTATCAATGAACGCTCCGAAAGCTATTTTCGAGCTGCTTCGATAAAAAGCACATTGTTATAATAAAATAGAATACCCACAGAGCAGCCGCGCTCCACGCTAAAACAACCTTCCACATGGGCCACTTCTCCGCGGTAGGACCAGATGGCATAGAACTATAAGAAGAAGTGTCTGAAGTCCTCCTCTGTGATCAAGTTTAATAGGTTATGTTTGGCAATGCATTATCCGCTATAACTTACTATACACGCGGCCATGACTGCGTTACTCGCACCATCTGCACGAGTCTGGAGTGATACGCGTTTGATACGTTTATCTAAAACAAATTTTTGGCCAGCGATAAGGATGCGATAAAAGCAGAACCTTGTCGTCTGTTCTTTTTTTCGTTTTGCGCGTATCGGTCTTTTGGATCGCGTCGATAATACATCAATAGGCGATTTTTAGGAAATACTTCCGCCTGTTGAAAGGTTTTTCGCGTACCAGCTGCATCTCAGTTGTTTTACTTTACCGAACGGTTTGTTTAAGATTAAAAATACCGCGTTTTACATGTTCCATATGGTGTTCGTTCGTGAGAAAATTAATAGAATTGTTACATTAAGATATAAAAATTTATCAAAGAAAAATATATAAAATAGATAAAAACGTAGTTTCATTTGCAATTGTTACGTAAAAATTCATGTTTGCTGCATGTTTTCTATAAACTAGCTAGCTCTGAGCGATTAAAATAGATGATGATTTGGATTAATTGTTGGTGTTATTTCGAATTAAGTGACAAAAAAATGTTTTCTTGATCGAAAACAATATTGAAAGTTAAAAGAAGGCAATGGTTTCAATTTTTGTGAACACCTGATACCTTGAACCTAGGGTCAACGAAAGAAGTTGATAGATAGATAGAGTAATATGTATCAAATATAGGGAAATTAATATGAATATCAATTATGTCTAAGAGAGCTCTTGTTGGCGGGTACCGCTAAAGTTTGATGGCAGTTGTTTTTTACTGCAAAGCAATTTTAAAATCGTATGTTATGATGAGCAACTTTTAAACGCAGAATTGATGACAAACAGTGTTACTGTGACTGCCAAAATATGTTGTATAGCATGTTATATATGCTCCAACAAAAGACTTCATTGGGCTTCACCTCTTTCATCGCAACGACGAATATACGTGGTTTTTATATAAAATGAAATAGATGTGGTTCAATCAATTTCAAAGAAAAAATCAGTATCCTAACTTGGCTCTTACCTCTCTAGTAAAATACCCCAGAGTAGGTACATCTTTTTATTACATTTGGTTTCAAAATTTCCGTTTTAAAGATATACTTTTTACGTGGTAATTCTTTTTAAATAAAAATGTTAAAAGCAAGAAGAAAAATCTCCATGTTTACCAACTATATCAATACCTTATATACAGTGCGTCGCCTTACGTTGGCCATATCCAAGATGGGTTGGTTTAAATCTGAAAAATTATGGAGCTCATTTTAAGAATTATATATGAACGTTTGTCCTAAAAGTCTTAACTCTTAAAATACAGGGTCGTAAAATTTTGAGAAAAAAATCAATTTTTATATTATCTAGTAAGCAATGGTTCTATATATCTATAGTGTTTGGCACCTTTTCAGGTGCCAAACACAATTTCTAATTTCTACCTTACCAAATTTGGTATCACATATTTTTTAAGAAATAAACATTACGCCACTTGAATTATTGACTATTTTATTATCTTTTCATTTCGCGACACTGACTAACAGAGCTTTGCCAAATTTGAAGCAGAATCGTTTGTTAGGTAATACAGTAGACTCGCGGTATAGTGAACATGCTGTACAGTGAACTGCTCTAAATAGTAAACACAAATTTTTGTTAATGTATTCTGTAGAGTGAACAAACTAACTCTCGAAATAATGAACCCAAAGGAACAAACACGTCAATGGAGGAAAACGGATTTAAACGTTTTGTTTTCTTTTATGTAAAACTGGATAAAAGCAGTTTTTTGCGAATTGTGATTGTATCAGGTCGTTTCGCGAGGGAGGTATGGCAAAAAATAGAAAACATCTAAGTCTAAGTGATATTAGCCAAGATATTAGAAGACTTAAAAAAGGTGTATGGCACTGTTTTATCCAAAGAATATGGTGCTGATAAATCTACCATATGCGCTATTCGGAAGAGAATGGTAAATATTTGAAAAGGGTTAACTTTTATCGGACTAGGAAAAAAGAAATCTTAAGACATTCAAAGTGGCGTCGAAAACAAAGAGGGAAGAATCTTCCCTTGCTACTCCATAACGAATACAAAGAATCTTCCATAGAAGCAGCGGCTGGTTGCAAAAATATAAAAATATAAAATATGGAATACGTTACTTAAAGGTTTGATGCGAAAAATTGTCATTACAGAATGAGCATTTTGGTCCCTTCAAAAGAAATCTGGAAGAAAAAATGAAAGCTCTTCAACTGTATAAAGATCAGATTTACAACGCCAACGAAACTGGTTTATATTGAAAGCTGGAAAAACAGGACTTCGCGAATATAAAACAGCTCCAGCTGTCCCGTTCATTATCGAAATTCCAAAGCTGCTTTGGATGACAGCCGCAATTTTTAAAGAATAGTTTCATATGATATTTATTCCGGAGATAATTTTAGTAATAGAAAAGTATTTTAAATTGTAGTACAATGTTTTTCTACTGTTCATACTTGAAATCTCACTCTTTGAAAGACGCTGTTGCGAATTTGACCCTCGTATGCAAAAACTTAGAGCCTGAAGTTATAGAAAAATGTCGACACAATCAACAACGAAATTTATTTAAGTGTTCTAAGAAGTCGAATAAGAAATAAGGAAATCGATACAGTAAGATCAGGAATTTTCGAGTCGCTGCAAGCTCTCAATCCCGAAGTTAACATTAACACCATGGATGTAGACGACTGGAATGAAGATATTTTGCCGGATAAAGAGCCTGAAGACCACAGCGCAAGAGACAAAAATTGGTCAAGATCAAGGACGGCAAGAAATTAAAGTATTGAAGAACGTGGGACAACTCAATCTGCGATCAAATCAATTAACAACAAAAAAGGTTATGAGACAAAAAACACTAACAAATTTACCTCATTTTTCGATAAGGATAAAACAATAAAGTACATTTTTATTAGTACATATAACGTTTTCTCCATTGTTAGTAAAGTCGGTTTACTAATGACAACAGTTTCTTAGTCAGTTTTAGAAATATTCCATATAGTGAACAAATCGCGAGTCTACCGTACAAAAAATTGTTTTTGGTTTTTTCAAAACTTCATCTTCAAAGTTAGGTTGTTTAGGACATGTGTTCGTACCTGAACTGAGTACCCCGTATTACACACACAAATATTCAACATGATTCATTTAACAACACGTTATTCATGACATTCCCCTTGCGATAAATTTGCATCATATTCAATAATTATAAATTTAAAACATTTGGAAATAAACCTTTATCTAAAAATATACTTTTATCAAAGCAATAATCGATTATTTTTTATTGAACACTCATAATCTTTCAATTGCTTAATCAATAGTTTATAATGATAAATATTATTTAAAAAATCCCTATATTTAATGTATGTATCCTCTATCTTGATATGCCCTTCGAAAAGTTATTTTCGTACCTGGCTGGATCGTCGCGCTCCGGGATAAAGAATAAAACACGCCGCCAATGTTTTAATAATAATTTAATATACATATACAGTACACTTCGTCTAGATTTTATTTTACAGTAAAAATGATAAATCGATATATTGGAACAACAGATTAGTCTATATAAAGTCCTCTTCATATAAAATATTTTTTAAATAAAATACACAGCAAAAAGAAATGACACGTCCCTTCGAACAGTACATACGTTTCGCACAATTTTAATGGTTTTAATTTTTTTTTACACGTAAAGCCTATGTTAACCGTTTATTAACGTTTATTATTGTAACATCACATATAATGAGAAAATCGTCTACATGTTGCCTAAACGCTTTCGCTTCTCCGATTCTACACTTTAGTTTTCGAAATCAGAGTAAGAAAAAGTCGGAAAACGGAGAGACGAATATCATTAATTAACGCTATCAATATAAAAAACCCAAGCCGGTTGATTTTCGAGGGTTTCAGCGAGAGATCATGCGTTCTTAAACAGTCATTTTAGTTATTATGTACACACATTTGTGGTTAACATTTGTAGCAATATCGAGAAAAGTATTAGTAACACCCAGCGACTTGTGGATCTCAAATCACCATGAAACCAGTTAGCTATTTAAATACACCCAAAGGTGTCTTACAAATATAAAACCGTTAGTTGGGAACGGCGGGCAATTATACAGGGCAAGACGAACTAACGATACCGCCGGAGGACTATTTGTCTAGCGTTACATGTGCTAATTTGCTTATTTCAATGAATATTATGCTTTTCTTATATATTTTTTACAGTGTTCAAATTTAAAGCTGCGCATGCGGAGAACATATTGACTTAGTCTATTGCAAATTGGGGCCATCTACAAAAGAGTTTGTTTTATACCCAAAAATTGTTTGCATTGTACCAAGTCTTCCATATTTTAAAATGAAATAATGAATGAATTGAAAAAAAAACTTTTTGAGATAATAAATATATAACTAATAAATATATAACTACCAAAACAAGTTTTTGGATTGCTATCGACAAATATAACCGTCATTTTATGTATCAAATTGATTTGAATTGACACAGGGTTTAGATTAGAATAAATTTCTTGAGTTAGGTTTAATTCTCGAAAGGAAAAGTCTTTCTAAACCCTTAAAATAACCAAATGATGCAAATTTTAAATACTTGAAAAGACGCGTTCTGTAGAGGGACCAATGGACCTGGAAATCCGGTAGCCGAATGTCACACCTTGAACAATAGCTCGGGCGGAGGGTATGTTAATGATAGAACTATAGTTCAGAGGCGTTTAGTGAACTAAAAACAATCAATATTGGTGCCTTGAATTGTTCTAATTATTTGATTGATTAAACAGTAGACATTTTCAAAAAACATGTTCAAATACAAAAAGTACCAACATAAAAAAAGAGAAGAATGTAAAAATGAACGATAACTATTTTTATTCCACACATTGTGCCTAAAATTTCTAGATGAAACAAACTATTGAATAAATTGAATGTTGAATAAATATGAGATAAACTATTAGAGCGTTAGTTGTCGAAAAACTTTTTGATTTTTATTCAAAAACACATTGTTTAAAAATAATGTTTTACCGACTGGCAGTAAAATCAAAAATGGTAATTAAATGTACTTTGAAATTTATACAAATAATAAAACACACTAGAAAGGCGCAATGATAGCGGGCATAATTTTTTTCACCCGTAGGATTATCCTTGACGGTATCGCGAGTTCGTGGTCTGGTAAAGCATCGTTATTTACAATTCCGCGTGGTCTAAACTACTCCGCTGATAAACGTATCTACCGCTCACACCGTCGGTTCTCTTTTTAGGGAACACGTGATCGTAGTACTTCTCGTGTTCCATCTGAAGCGGCTTCGGCCTGCCCCTGTGTCCCGGCTCATTCTTTCTGGACCCTAAGGACCTGCTGCGGTACCCATCCGACTTATTCGTATCCGATGCCAGCGATTGTGGCATCGAATAACGACCAAAGCTGCGGTAATCGTATCCGAAGAGGTTTTCGTCTACACTACTTCTACCGTTGAGTGTGTGTGTGGTAGGGGGACGATGCTATATATATTTACAGCTGACGTTAGTTTAGGCACGGGGTGTTAGTTTTGGTGCGAAGCGGTTTCGAGTGCTGACTTTGGCTGAAAACCGGTTCTTTTTGTTTTATACGTGTGTCAAACAGAAACGTCTAGGCGCCGGATGTCGAGGCGTTCACATAAAGATGAATATACAAATGTATGGTATAAGGTATAAAGTTAAAAATAAAATATTGAGTTTGTATACATAGCACAGCATTCAACAAAGGAAAGTTGTACAAGAAGTCAAGAATTCAGCAGCACTAGATTCTTTTGCAGTGCAGTGTGCCAAACTGCACAAAATATATGTCATATTAAGATTTAGTTCAAATAACATTTTTTTCATATTTCCGTGTTGTTAAAATTGCTATTTCATTAAGTTTGAAACAAAATGGTTCTTTCCACATCGGTTTATAAATGTTGAACACATCTATTTTTTGGAAGAAATTTCAATAAACAACATTACGCATTTTTGTTAACAAGGATTATGGTTAAATATGTAATGGAAGCCATCTTATGGCGAAAAACTCACAAATCGAAACAGTAATTTATGTTTACCATTAGGCTTCTCAGATAATCACGATTTTATCCCTACAAAGAAAGAGTATGTTATTTACATATACAGTATTGGAGAATCAAAAAAATTCTTAAGGTCAACCAACCACTTGCCCCTGTCGTATGCTTCTGGTAGTAGCTAGAATCTAGTAGGGCGTATAAAACTAACTTTTAATAAGTTTTAAATTTTTAAATAAAACACCCTGTAAATGAGCAAGGAGTTATATAGAACCTAAACGATTTGGGATAAATCTTAATGTTTTCTGGACCCAGGATTCTAAACTTTATATATGTCCCCCGTATATCGAGAGGATTATGGAATGTAGATTTTAATTTAATTTAATTTAATTTTAATTTTAATCAGAATATTTACATGACTGGGAAACTAATTCACTTGTACCTCGACTTTAGAAGCACAACAACCTTTTTGGTATGATTGAGTTTGGCCATGATGAAAAATGTCCGTTTTATATGAAAACTTCAAAATGACTTCGATCGCAATGCGGATAAACTAGAGAATAAAATCGCAAACAGTAAACATTCATAACCGAAGTGAAAAGTTTACGCAATTCCGCATTAACTTCAATGCGGTGTATGGTAGAGAATCAATCGCAAACTATACTCACAAGTTAAAATCCGAAAACTCAAAACGTTCACGTGATTCGACCACACGGGCATCATCTACATAAGAAGTGACAAAGACGTCAACTCAAATGCGCACCCTAAAAAAAGTTGTAATAGAAATATAAAAACTCATAACAAATCTACAAGGGCACTAATGTAAAATGTTCACATATTTATTATTGGAAAACTTATGACCAGTGGATAACAAAGAAGTACGGCAGGCAGATTTGGTCTTAGGAATTCTGATTAAAATATTCCTCTCAGGTATAAACCAAAGTATAATTTTTTACAGTTCAATAAATATACCCATGCTTTAGTAAAATATACCTTAACTATCATTGGAAATGGCTTCGGCGTTTTGTTTGTTTTAAACGCGGTAAATAAATTTGTAGTTTTGAAAGAAATAGAAATATTGTCTGGGAAGTAAAATCAACAATTTATCAATCGAACGAATTGGATTATCGTTACTGAAAGCAATTTGTCCGATCGAATGCTAATTTCTTTGTAAATGGGAACAGGGAGAGTTGGAAGAAAAATGTATGACATGGTCAGCAAATGCGAACTTTCTAAAAATCTAGAATTTTATGGTAAAACGGTAAATAAATATCTCATGTTATTGATTAACCGCAGGATTCTGCAAAGCATTTGTTGGATCCCATTTAGCTTTGTTTTTAAAATCTGATGATGTCGTGTGGCGAAAAATGTGTAACATTTGGAGAATAATAATTTTGATGTCCTCGATTTGCGAATTTCTTGGGACCTTTATAGTTTTATGAAACCAAGTCTTTTTAAATATGGGAGACTTGTTTTGTTTTTAATCTTTTTTTTAAGTCCAACACCCCGACTATTTGAAAACTTGCTCCAATTTTATTACTCGCCGCGAAACCACACGCGTTTGCAGCCAAAGGAGCGTACAAAGTTCGGCCACAGCTCTATACATAACATCGTTACAATAGGCGTTTCCAGAACAGAAAAAATATTGCTAATCGAAAACTATGTGACGACATTTTCCCGCTGCTGCTACTACGGTCTAACCCTATTCGGCTGCAGCAGATATCCGACTCTGACGATCTCGACGCTTTATTATTAAAATCAAGTGAGGTGGTTTGAGAAAGTGCTCAGTACTGGGGTGGTGGTCTGTGTGGAAAGAAAGTGTCAGTGTAAGTTCGGTGTATGTACAGAGTTTATCGGCAACGAACAAACAACCAAGTTTTCGTTTATCCGTCGTGGCTACCTGGACCCTTTCCGTCACAGAATACACACAATACAGTAGCGATGCCAATAGCGAAACTAACCTTCGGGAGAGATTAAAACTTTTAAGCAACAACTCTTTACTTACTGGTAGGTTAGGTTTATCAAACACCGATGAAATCGCGTTTGCTATACATAATTAAAAATCAGAAAATACCTATCCTGCTAAGCAACGGTGTATGATGAAAGTCACCAAAACTTTGATTTTCCTATACGTTTCTATAGTTTCTGATCTGCGAAAATCACCTCTTTAGTGCTATTGGACCTCTCCAAAGCTGTTGATAAATTAAATCCTAAATTGGTGTTAGTTATTCTCTACTTTGACGGATTTTCTGAAGCAGCTGTCCAATTTATACAAGATTTTCTAAACAAAAGACAGCAGTACGTAGAGACGAGGAGTTGTGTGGCGTCTGTAGGGGATTTCCCCTGTGGTGTCCCTCAGGGATATATTTTAGGTCCTTTGCGTTTTAGTTTTTATGTCATCTTGGAAGCTGTCTTCAGCATTGCTCAGAGCATCTGTATACGGATTACATGCCCGTTTGTCTTTAATGCAGCGCGATGATCATCCACACATACTATGTGTTCCTAACTAACGAACCAAAAAATTAGACTTGCAAACTCCTTGCTTTTAAGTCACGTTGACTATGATTATGTAGAGTATGGCCCGTGTTTAGACAGTATTGATATTAATATAATAGACTGGGTACAACAGTCATGCTGAGACTTTCCTACAAATCGAAAGAAGCCAAATGGCTTACCATGGAAAATAGAAGGAAATTTCACTTACTTGTTATTAACTCATAATCCTAATAAGCTTAATCTTCAATTTTCAGGATATATTTCTTCTCCTCCTAAGATTTAATTATTCGAGAGTTCGTTTACCTATAATGTTCATGTATAATCAATTTCCCTCTGATTTTAAAGTTCTAAACATTCGCTATTTCAAACATACTGTTTATTGTTTGCGTTAATAATACTTGAAGCATAAACAGGTAAAGGATAAGGGATAAATCGACTTAATCAGTTGATACTATTCTTTTTTGCCTTGTTTCCTCTAAGTGTCAGTGAATTTTGTGTTAGAATTTTGGCAAATCAAACTTATTATTATTATTATTATTATTATTATTATTATTATTATTATTATTATTATTAAATGTAAAAGCAGAAAAATATTTTCTTCATTTGTAAATTGAAAACATACAGTAACATATCGGCATGGCACTTGTCCCGAATCGTTTCGTAGCTTCTGTATAGTGTTTATTCTCGGCCCTAGGGAGTCCAAATAGCGTCAACGGAAAAAAAAAACATTTCTTAGCTACAGGCGAGCGTGTTAACAAAGAGTGCAGGTGCTCTATGTACAAAGTGCGTCTGGTGGTGCGACCTTTTAACATGGCTACGTTCGTTATGTACATTTAAGTCGGTTTCCAATCAAGTTCTGGAATTGGATCGCGAACCTTTAGGTTTCGACGAAGAGTTTTCCGTTTCGTATTATTGTCCGTGGTAACTGAAAACTAGGAAACGTCGAAAACTCTCCGTCGTGTAAAGAAAAAACGCACAAGCAAAACGGAAAATTCACAGTTTCGGTAAATACGCGTGTGCGAGAGAGAACTACCTAACTAAGTAATCAATTAAACGTTTAAATCCTACGCTAAGAGATTCGGTTGGGAATTTACAAAAATAAAATAACACTAAATGACATAATATAAAAAATAAAAGTCTTAGGATTGGTCGCTTTGGTAAAATGTGCACACGTGACATATAAATCAACGGCCAGTGATCGACAGGGTGCCAACTGCAACCGGGACACATTAAACGCTTAGAATTTTCGGGGTATTTCCAATATTTTACTAAAAAATAATTTTAAATGAGGATTTAAACAAATAAAACAGTTTTTTAATACAAACCGCAAAACAGGCTCTCAAAAAAAACTCTTTTTTTTTTAACGTAAATAAATTTTATGTAAGGTTTAGATTAAAACATTACACTCAAAATTTTATAACAATCCGAAAAAAAATCGAAAATACCTCGGCTACAAGCAAACGCCTCGCGGGGTCGGAAACAGTTAACATCTGTATTCGATTACAGTGGCGTTCCGGCCTCCGGAACGACGCGACGGTACGGCAACGTCGCAATCTATCCCCCCCACGATTGTGTGGTGGAGAACGTTGCCACCGTCGCGTCGTTCTGTCAGCATCGTGCAGTGCTACACTCTAGTGGGCGGTTGAAGAACCATGGCAGCCAGACGTACCTTCATGGCGTCGGGATGTCCGGCGCCCCTCGGACCGGTCGTGTAAATGGCATCGGCCGGTATACCGCCCGGACCTAGGGCCGTTTGAGGGGGTTGGCTGTTCGCCACGTGGTGGTTATGGGCGGATTTTTCGATGTCCACCTTTTGACTGAAACATGCATGTAGCCAAAAATCTCGTAAATCCGGGTTTTTATGTACAGTTAAATTGGGAACTGTAAACATTTAATTATTTTATCATTTTTATGTTGGCAGCACTCGTGCGTGCAAAAAGTGTCCTTTGCAGCATTCAGAGTGCTCTCTTATACCGTGCTTTAGTCACGAGCTAGTTGATAATTTTTCCTGAAATTGACCTGAGAACAAATTGGACGAGTACTATAGTGTCGCAAACAAATTCAAGTTCTTCATAAATTTATCCACGAAATAGAAAATTTAATTAATTAATACCTAACTTAACTTTGTCCAATTTTTGCATCAATTTATCAATGTCAAGTGCTGAAATAAATCAAGAAGCAATGTTATGTTATTACATATTATATACCTGAAGTCATTATTTATTAAATTAATAATCTTAGATTTATAGGATGTTTATCTCCTACATTTATCGCATCTCGAAAATTTGTGATCCTTTTCTCTATCTGAAGTCACATGACTCAGGATTATAACAATACTTTGGTCTGGCATCCTCAAAAACTGTTTAAACTCTTGAAGGTTCTTTTTAAACTGTTTTTTAACCAATTTTAAGTCTTCTTTATTTTATTGTCTGGTCAAAGCCTGACCCACCAACTTTTTTCGATGTTAGCTAGTAAAAAATGGTTGCATCAATAATACGGACAACAGAGTATTTCTTTTTCTAATTCTTGTATGATTTTAGATTTCTGTAGAACAAACTGAGGCCTAACAACTAAATAAGGACTATTATGGGTAAACACTGTTCCAAAACAAGAAAAGCAGTAACCCCTACACACCGTGAGTTGGTTGAACTGGTAAATAACATTTTGAGCGTGCTAGTTTCCAGTATAAAGCTTCGACATGAACTAAATGAAGACATTCATCAGTTACTTCATGAATTTATTATTAGTGCAAAATTAGTATTCAACGAGTGTCTGAAGAAGTTCGTCAGCGCGTTGGCAGAGTATCATTTCTACGACCATTAGTTTTTGGATACATCTTTGCAAATAAGCACGAAAATAAGATTGGGAAACTGGCCCAAAAACGGAACTAGGAGCTACCACGAGCGGCAGCAGAAAATCCGGATCTACTGGGGTTCCCTAATTTGATATATCCACGTTACCCAATTAATCGGATAAAGCGAAATTCCCAGATATTATCGGCCATTAGAGGCGAGATAAATATCGCCTTCGAGCGGGCGTAAATCGCCGAAAAGCCACTCGGTTCGCATCGTGATGGGCCTTCGGCATGCCAGAGGATACGATAACTTCCCGAAATATCGGATGTAATTAGCAAATCATTGATATAGGTGTTACGTAATAATTGAGGTCGGGTATTGATTTCGCACGATTGCCGGAGCTGCTTTTCTCCCGCATCGAAATGGTTGGTGGGGAACGGTCGGAACTAGTCAGAGATCCTTTGGAGGAACGCCTCACGTATCTTTAAAGATATAAAAATGCGGAACTTGGCAGAAACAAGATTTCCCGATTCAAGGTATACTTTGGTATCTTTTCTGAATGCTATATAACGTGCCGCTCTAAGAATTAGTATATTATGTATACTTCTTTAAATGTGTATTATTTTCTAATATTTTACTTCACTTTTAGATTATAAGGTTGTAGGTTATGAAGCTAATCACGTAGAAACTGTAAGGGAAGTAAGAATCTTATTGATTCCTACATCATCCCAATTTTTGATATTTTTTGTGGCGTTTTAAGCAACATTTTATTATAAAAAAATCTGTTGCGGAGCTTCGCAAATCAAAGATTATCGTTGCAAATTCCTCAAAAAAAGCCACAGCTAAATGACATGGTACAAGAAAAAGCAGAACTAATAATAGTTCTTTGCTTATTTTCAATTATTTTTACCTCTAATTATTTTATTTTTTAAAGAAAATTTACACAGTTTTATAACAATAAAGTTCATTAAAAACTGGGATTTAGTGTTATTTAAGTTTGTAGCAGAATTTGACGTTCAACTATTGTCTTATGTTTTATACCGGTAGCTCACTACTAATTTTAAATCATAAATACAAAAATTGATTGTATCAAAGTGCTGGAAGCAATAAAAGTAGTCCCATTGTGTAGGGTAACTCATAAGTCTTCTACAACATCCAAATTCCTCATTTTAACTTTCGATTTCCGAAAAAAAAATCAAGGTATAGATTCCTGTCTGTACTTAATCATCACAGTGTCTTATATTCTTGATTATTTTACGAATTTAAAATTTATATTTAAATAAATAATTTTAATCTGTATAGTGAACAGAAACACAAAAACCGTTTTTTGGAATTGATATTGATATAGAAAAGTTTTGGAGTTTGATTGCCTTTTCCTAGAAAATATGAAATGATATGAAAAGCGTTAAAAATAGGTATACAGAAAACCATAACAAATCGTTGATACGTCAAGGTCAAACATCGCATGGCAAATCGGAAAGCGTCATAGTCTTAACTGAAAAAAAAAGTGGCAATAAAAACTTTTTAGGTTTTGCTATCTATATCAATTTTGGAATTTTAATTCAAAAATGTTAAGCATCTTAACGGCCGTCCAGACTTTTCGGGATTGAGGCGGTTTTACTGTAGAACTATATATTTCTGATAAGCGTACACTATTACCATAGAAAATAGGAAGTAATATACATGCACTCCTATTCAAAAAGTATAAAGTTTTGTAATAAAAAACTTTTATTATGTTCCTCAAACATGAAAATGGCTGATAGTTATTATGTTTTGATTCACCAAAGCTAGGACACTTTTGCGAAAGCCGCCTCGTTCTATAGGATAAGTTAAGGCAGGATAGTTTTGGTTAGTTTTAAATAAAGGGGTCCTGAGATTTTGCATGGCGTTACGATAACGATCATTTGTCAAATAAAATGTCTTCAACTCTTAAAGGAAAACCGGAAAATGACGCAATCGAAGACGCGCAGGAAAACAACCTATCAAAAAATTCGATGGACTGGCAATTAAAGCCGTCGTCCGTTGCTATTCGTTACTCGACCTAAAAGGTTCGTTAAAACGGGGTCCCGAATTGTTCGCCCCCGCACTCCCCTCAATACGCGACAAAGCAATTATTGAAGTCGGAAAACGGCATAAATTTCGACTCGGGTGCTTAATGTTAATATTAAGCGAGAGTCGTCCGACCTCACCGTGTCCGACTACTAAATTTTCCCCCGGAATCGGAAAAACGTCCATCTCTTATTCATTTATTCGGAACTATTCAAATATTATTAATGTAATGCCGCTAATTTTTCGGTTTTCGATTAATCGCCGTGTTCCGTCCATATCGGAAAAATTTACATTTAATCTGGCGCAATTTCGCGATTTTTTTATTCCTTTAATTTCGTTCGGTTTTCGATGAAAAAATAATGACCTTTCGCGACAATGATAATTCTTCGGTATGGGAAGACGATTTTAATTTTCTAAATGGTGAATCTTTCTTTTTAATTTTCGAGACCGCGGTATTTTGATGGATGTTGTATTCTTATTCGTGAAAAAAAAAATGATGTCCAATCTTTGATGTCTCCAAAATGAGATTTTCGGTTAGTGGCGTTAATTCAATAAATTGTTCCCTAAGGAGTTTGATTAATTTCTACAGAACAGGGACATAAGTAACAAATTAAAAAAAAATGCAGAAGGCAGCAAAATGCTAATACAAAATAAAATAAAACAAAAATAACATGTTTTAACGTCACGCACAGAAGAAGAAAATATATCAAACTGGAAACTTGCAGAGTTGTACAGATCGCACATTCTGTGGAAAGGACAATTTTTAAAATATTCGTACGAGGCGTAGAAAGGTTAAAGGTTTGATCTACTCTTGAGATAACCCTGGAAACACCAAAATTCAATTTTGATAAGAGGGCCGGATCAACAACCTGATTATGAATAATTATCAAGAATTGTCGTTGTACAGATTTCAGCTTGGACTTGGTGAACCGGACTCTTTAAAATTTCTAAATCTGTTAAGTCTCGAAAGTTCCGTGCTATAAACTCGTACATTTTATTCGAGGCAGACACAGCGCAGTCAATATGTGGAATGAAAGAAAGTTTAGGGTCAAAAGTAGCTGGACGCTGAAGTACGATGTCATTGATTGGTAATCATATCTGATAATATTACTTTTAAGTGAATACGTCACGACATTACATTTGATGCAGTCCTGAATACTACCAATTTTGCAGAGCAACTTTAGATCGTCAGCGTATAACAAGCGATTAACATCAACACTTTCCACAATGTCATTAATAAACATATTAAATAGAAGGGGGCCTAAATTGCTGCCTTGAGGAACACCGGATGTTGCGACATATTCTACAAGCTTGAGTCCACCAAGTATAACAAGGTGATAAGATAAGATCAGATGAAAACGAACTGATTAGAGGTAAAGTCTGTCAAACGCCTTCGAAAAATCGATATAGACAACATCAGTTTGAGATCGCAAGTCTAGATTTTCAGCTATAGCTTGGGTGATAGTTGCCAGATTAGTGATGGTGGACCGCCGTTTCATAAAACCATGTTGCTTTGATGTTATACTGTTTCAAAAACCTTGGAAAAATTGCAAAGTAATGGAATGAGACGAAAATTACTGATATCTAAATGGTCACTTTTTTTTGTAAATAGGTCTAACTTTGCATAACTTCCAGATATCAGGCACAGTGCAAGACTTAAGTCACGTATTCAGTAGAACTGTAAGTGGTAGAGGACACTTGCACAGTCCCGACGTCATCTTATTTTTTGTTTGCTTAAGATGTAAAATGAAGAACTTGCATATTATCGCTATTACTAAATGTTAAAGAGAAGAGTTAGCAGAGTAAGACTTAGCGAAGAAATCAGCAAAAACATTTAAAATGTCAGCAGGACTTTCTAATAATTTATCATTGTAGAACATCCAATCTGAAATGTTAGTTGAACCCTTTTTATTATTAATTAAACGCCAAAAATTTGTTTGGATCAGTTTTCATCTCACACTCAGCACACAAAA